GTAACTTTAATTCAGAATAATCAATATGCCAAAGTGGCATATTTGGGATGGCCTGTTGTGGACCCCATCAATGTGAATCAACAATGATCTCAGTACGTATTTCAACTAAAAAGGACACTTTGAGAGGTGTATTTCAACCCTGTTTCTGTCTGTCCCCAGAGAGGACAAAAGAAGCAAAATCTACTCAGAGATGGGATATTTGCTGCAGGGCCACATAATATGCTGTATATTTGAAGCTGTAAGTGGGGAGGGGCTGTTAGAGATCTTCAGGGACTGCCAAGTGGCAGCTGAAACGTGGAAGAACAACGCTGCACAACGGCTGTGGTAGGGAGTCTTGTGATCAAGATGCCAGAGCAGAAGCTGTTAGCACACAAATGCTTTGGCTCAGTTCTAGAGTTTCAGTTTAAAGAATCTCATGAGGATTAAAGACACTTAAACACTTTCAAGCACTTACAGTTTTACCCAGAAGTTAACAACTTCAGAAACTGCTGATTTCAGCCTGTGACTTTTGATTAATGTTTTTTGATGGTTTAGTTCGCCTTTTTTTTTTTTTTTTAAACGGGACTGCAGTAGAAGGCAAAAGATGAATTTATGATGCCAAGTAAATGGTTTGCTTGCATTGCCTTTTCCTTCAGTTTCAACCTTGTGGCTGAATTCCCTTTTTGGCTGTAATGTAGACACTGTTTTACCTTTTTTCTGAACATGGTTTTTAGGCTGTGAGTACATTCCAGGCACTAATAGTCTATACAACATGAGCCATTTCTGAAAAAGTAGAACTCCATAGATTATTATTATTGTTGTCTTGGTTTCTGTGTGATTGTTTTGCTTTTCTTCCTACCATGGGGGAAGCATGTTAAGTATATAATAGATCGTGACCATCACATCTCCCAGCTTTCCTAAGGAATTGCAAAGATGATGTCTCTTTACATAAGAAATCCTGTCAGCCTTTCCTGAGTCACCTGGAGAACTGCAAGCTCTGGTAGATAAAATGCTTGACAGTTTGGAGTGTTTAGGAAGAAAGTGGAGAGGAAAGATGGAGTGGAAACAATTGTAGGAAAGAGACAAGGGAGCTGGTCTGTTGCTTTTCTTAAAAAACAAACAAAAAACCCCTCAAAATGTAACATTCCAGCTTCTTTAGTCCGAGTCTGATTGAAACAGACCACCTCCTCCTGTTTATAATAGGAGTGTGGCAAGGCAGTGCTTGCAGAATGACGTTCTGTAACAAGCCATACTTAACATGCTTTCACAGTAGATGGCCTCTTAACCATATTTCACAGATAGATATGATTTGCTTTGGAAGTAACTGTCAGAAAAGCCCAAATCCTGTTGTACTCTGTTTCCTGAGCCCAACTGGGAATTTATGGTTATTGCTTTCATTACTTAGTCTTAAGATTAGACCTTGAATTTTATGCTGTCAGAAATTTTCTGATGCTGGGCTCCAGTTAGCAAGGTCGGGAGCTCATTTGGACTCAAAAGTTGTAAAAGAATCGAGACATGATAAGTAGGTCAGTGCCGAAAGCTGTGAAAGACATGGTGATCAGATAATCAACCGAGAGCAACCATTTGGGACAATTTAGTCACATTAACGTCCTGATGATGTGTAGATTTTGGAAAAGAGAGACAAGGTGTCCGTGGTGGGGTAAGGGGAAGACTCTTGAAAAGACTGCAGAAATACTTGAGATGAAAGAAATGTTCACATATTGAGGTATGGGGAAGTCATTCTGGCTTTTATACATGAGTTAACTTGAATATTATGCTCACTACAGTAGCCTGTTTTTGGCTACAGTATATCAAACATACATTGTAACTCTGCTTTAATTATTTAAGAAAAGGGCACCTTGACCAGAAGTAAAGAATATCCATGTTAAAAATAAAGATTAAATGCCCTTCTTCCTGGAATGCCAATGTTGGTTCTCCTTTAATGATAAGACTCCCTCCCCAGGTGCCAAGGCCATACTGTATGTGCTGGTCTGTTTTTTGTTTTTTTTTTGGAAACTTGAAGAACTGTATCCCTGACCTGTTTAATGTTCTTTGCTCTGACAAGATATAAAACTGTGCTGAAAAACCCTGCTTCTCTGGAGCAATTTCTCAGAGTAATCTGGGAAGCGGGCTTCTGGGCTATAGTCCTCAGTTTGGCTCAGATAAAATTCTTTTCTATTCTTATTATTGATTGTTCATTGATTATGTTCGTTGACACTTGCTAAAAGTGGCGTCTACATGTTAAAATAATTACTTTCAGAAACAAATGGGGAGAAGAAACCAGAATCCTAGGCACAGTGAATAAGTAGGTTGGGATGATAGTACATAAGGAACCTGGTTCCCATTTTCTTAAGGTTTGAATTTCTTCCATGACCATCACTCCCCCTCCCCCATACACCAAGCTACCCTAATAGAGGCAAAAAGGGGAGAGTAGAGCTTAGCAGTAAGACTCATCTGGGTTCTAGTTTGGCTCTGCTAGGTCACCAAGAGCAAGTTTTTTAAGCCCTCAAAGCCTCAGTTTCCTCCTCTGAAAAATGATAGGATTATGTACGTCCCATGTTCGTGTCAATGAATGAGTGAAATAAAGCATAAGCAGTTCCTGGAACGTGGTCAGCGTTCAGTAAATGGAAGGATTATCACTATTGATACTACTCACAACTGTCCACCACTCTAGCCTTTTCAAAATACAATCATGTCTGATACTACATGTGTTCATCTTTGTAGGAATACTGTTGCATGGATTGGGCAGATATGCAGTAGCCCCATTTTACACAGGGGAAAAAGGAAGCTCAATGATTAGTCCCCAGGTCACCCAGCTGGTGAGCAGTTGACCTTGGATTACAAGCACGGTGGTTCTTTAAGCCAGGATCAGAATTACCTGGATGATGATCGGAAGTCAGACTGTTGCGCGCCACCCACAGAGTTTCCAATTTGGTAGGTCTGGGATGAGGCCCATGAAATTGGATTTCTTCGCCAGAGTTCAGGTGATGCTGATACTGTTGGTCTTAAAACCCCACTTTGCAAACAACCAAGCTGGACTAGAGCAATGGTTCTCAAATATACCTGCTCACTGCAGTCACCTGGAAGCTTAACAGAATCAACAAACCCATAACTGCCTCACGTCCATGGATGTTCTGGTACCACAAGTGTGATTCAGTCTTGGCACTAACATATAAATACTTGATTGTTCCCAGTAAAAAAGGATAAATCTATAACAACTTTGGGAGTTCTACACTCTGGAAAGCTCTGTCCTTTTTTTTTCAAAAAATGTAGTATTTTTTTCTTTCCTTTTTTTAAAATTGAAGTATAGTTGATTGACAATGTGTTAGTTTCGGATGTACGGCACAGTGGTTCAGTTTGTATCTATATCCATATCTATCTATATATCTATCTTTTCTATATCTATCTATATATCTATCTTTTATCTATATATCTATCTTTTCTTTTTCTATCTATATATCTATATATCTATATCTATCTATATATCTATCTATATATCTATCTATATCTATCTATATATATCTATCTTTTCTATATATCTATATATCTATCTATATATCTATCTTTTCTTTTTATCTATATATCTATCTATATATCTATCTTTTCTTTTTCAGATTATCTTCCATGATAGGTTATTACAAGATATTGAATATAGTTCCCTGTGCTATACAGTAGGTCCTTGTTGGTTATCTATTTTACATATAGTAGTGTGTATCTGTTAACCCCAAACTCCTAATTTATCCCCACCCCCTTCCCCTTTGGTAACCGTAAGTTTGTTTCCTATGTCTGTGAGTCTACTTCTTTTCTGTAAATAAGTTCGTTTGTATCATATTTTTTAGATTCCACATATAAATGATATCATACAGTATTTGTCTTTCTGTCTGACTTCACTTGGTTTGATATTCTCTAGGTTCATCCATGTTGCAGCAAATGGCAAAATTTCTTTCCTTTTTGTGGCTAATATTCCACTGTGTGTCTATACACCACATCTTCTTAAGCCAGTCGTTTGTTGATGGGCACTGGGGTTGTTTCCATGTCTTGGCTATTGTGAATAGTGCTGCTGTGAACACGGGGAGCATGTATACTTTGAATTATAGTTTTTTCCAGATATATGCCCAGGAGTGGGATTGCTGACACATGTGGTAACCCTATTTTTAGTTTTTAAAGGAACCTTCATACTGTTCTCTGTAGTGGCTGCACCAATTTACATTTCCACCAACAGCGTAGGAGGGTCAAAAAATATAGTATTAATACGAAATACCTGTAGAGCCAACTATTGAGAGAAGTTTTATAGCAAACCTGCTACAATTTCAGGACAATTTATCTACCACCCTCCCCAACACTTATTTCAAGCATTCCAAAACCTCCACCCACTTAATTTTTCACTCTTCATACCTGAGAACTCTAAGTAGTCTTCCCTGACCTGCATCAAATTAAGTCCCCCTGTTCTACACCACCATACTACCACTTACCTTTTCCCTCCTGGTATCTATCATAACTCCAAATTTACATTTATTTGCATCCTATTACTGAACTTATTATCACCATTATTAACTAAAGGTATTATTTGAATTCATTGTTGATTAAATTAATCGTTAATTAATTATATTATTATTACAGTTATTTACGTCATTACTACATTTATATTATGTCGGTGGCTGGTTCCCAGACTGTAAGCTCCAACAGAGCAGGGGCCTGTTTTTCGTTCAAGCTTGCGTACACAGCGCCGGACATACAGTAGTAGGTGTTAGGCCAATATTTGTTTATCAGCCTTCCTGACCTCTAAAACTCTCTGTCTAGTGAGGCTGGAAGACCCACGTGTGCAATGGTATAGAGCAGACCGTTTAAAGTTCCGGGGGTGGGCCTTGGTTGCCAGTTTTGCAAAGCGTACCCCGAAGCGAATGTTTTGAGAGGCGTCAGAACCCCGCCCCTTTACAACTACAGAACAAGTTCTGAGGCAGCCCTAAAACGCTTTCCCGGATCAGAGACACCGATTGCCGCAGAGGCTCTGCGCTCCAGGGTACTACCTGGAACAAACCCTGCAAAGATTCGGCGGGCGCCGCAGCCGGGCGTGCCAGCAGGAGGCTGCGCCGGGACTGCCCCCTCTCATTTCTCCCGCGCAAAACCGGGCCGGACGGCTCCACTCCCTCCCTCCACTGCAGGGGGGAGCCCGGCGCCCCCAGATGGGCAGCCACCCCGGGCGGCTCCCAGCTGCAGCCCCTCTTGCGCCGCCTGCAAAGCGAAGTTCACCGGTCGCGAAGTTTGGGTCCTGTAAGGGGAGCCTCGAGGGCTGGCGCCGCGGCGCCGAGTGGGCGGCGCGGTGCGCTCCCCCTGTCCCGGGCGCCGAGTGCGCCCCTCCCCCGGCCCGCCGGAGCTCCGGGCGGAGCGAGCGCGCTGCGCGGCCGCGGGCGACCTCCGTGCGCGGCCCCGTGGCGAGCGAGGCTCCCGTGGCCGCGTGCTGGGAGGAGGCCGGAGCCCAGCGGGGAAGAATGGAGTTGGCGACTGGCTCGCAGGTGAGGATCTGGCCGCCCGCCGCAGCCCGGACGCACCCTCGGCCTGCCTTCCCTTTGCGCTTGGCCCTGCGCCCCGCCTTGGGCTGGAAACGTGGCCCTCGGCTGCCGCGTTGTGGATCGGGCGCGCCCAGTCCCGCCGACGCCGGAGCGGGCACGCCCCGCAGGTGTGTGCGGTGTTTACGGTTGTGCCACCTGGAGCGGAGAGGCCGGGTGCCGCCGCACGCGGGCGCTCGCCGCTGGCCCGGGTGGGGCCTCGGGGTAGTCCGCTGGGTCGCTGCGGCCGCGAGCCCCGGGAGCGGATGAACTCTAGGGCAGTGCAGGCGGAGAGGCCGTAGCGGCGCAGCGACTGCGTTTGCGGTGCTCGTGGGACTGGGGGAGGGGGAAGCTTTTTCGGTGCGCGCCCCCCACTTTCTCCGGCATTGGCATGGAGATGAGTTTAAGTGTGATTTTCTAAAAAAGCATAGTCGAGAATCGGGCCAATTCAACTTGGATAATGGGGTTTAAAAAGCGTTGCTTTTGTATTTGTTCTAGAACTTTTGGAAATGTTTTTAAGGAACTTGTAACCGTTTGGGGGAACTGGCAGCGTTATTAGACCAGGTTAAAAAACAAAAAGCCCCAAGCTCCCAAACCGTGTATACAGCACCACCGCAGGTACCCATTATGGTTTTAACTAGGTCTTAAAAATCTCATTAACAAGCTCCCCCAAATTACAATGGGTGGTGGGACGTGGACTTAGCTTCAGTTTTCTTTTTTACTTTTTAAAAGCGCTTTTCTCTACTTTCTAGTAATGAATATACATAATTTATGCGGAGGTAAGCAATAAAAACTTTTTCAAACGAACTAAAAATAAACCTTTTAGAAAGGAAGCAGCTTGTAGGAGCCCGAGAGATGCTTTGTATGAGGGTTGGGTTTTTTCTTGCTTTTGTGAGCGCTTCTGACTCACTGCTTCCACCTTACCTTTGGCTGGTGTTTATCTCCTTTCTCCACCTGGGTGTTGGGCATCCGCAGGATTTGGGAGACGCGGAGCGACCGGGGCCCAGCTGCCGGGGTGGCCGGTGGTGCCTGAGCCCGTGACGCTGTCACCTGCCTGGGTCTGGCGGCACATTAGAGACCAAGCCACTAATGGTCGCTTTGGCCATTTGGTGATTTCTGAAAGGCTTCCTGAAAGTGGACACTTGAGAAAAATCTATTGTGGATGTTTAAGAGAAAGAGTATTTTTTGAATTTCTCCAATTAAGTGAGGTATTAAAAGCAAGGAAAACAAACTCAAGAAGGGATGGGACAGGCTTAGTTATTGTTTTTGTTTTTGCCCCTGACACTTACCATATAATTAGTATCCTAGGCTTTTAGGAGGTTTGGGTTTCTCCAGGATTTGAACCCTTCTGGAAGGAGCTTGTGAATTTCATCAGTAAATGTATCTTGATGATGTATCATTCCTGAAACATGTTGTTCTGGTGGTGCTGCGTCACCCACTACTTACATACACAGTTCCTGCTTAAGAAATTTAAAATGGGGCTTCCCTGGTGGCGCAGTGGTTGAGAGTCCGCCTGCCGATGCAGGGGACACGGGTTCGTGCCCTGGTCCGGGAAGATCCCACATGCCGCGGAGCGGCTGGGCCCGTGAGCCGTGGCCGCTGAGCCTGCGCGTCCGGAGCCTGTGCTCTGCAACGGGAGAGACCACAACAGTGAGAGGCCCACGTACCGCAAAAAAAAAAAAAAAAAGAAAGAAAGAAATTTAAAATGTCCCAGAATGTTTAGTTGGAGATGAACATTTTATTGTCAAATAATGAGGCTAACTTTTGGTAGCTCTAAAATGTTAAGTAAACTATTTACCATGTGGCAGTAAGCCACAAATTATATCTGACCCATTATGCATCCATTAGGGCAAATTACTTTTGTAAGATGATCAGGTTTGTTTTTTCTCTCCCCCCCCCCCCCCCCCCCCCCCCCCCCCCCCCCCCCCCCCCCCCCCCGTCAAAATACCTCCTAATTGACAGGGCAAATTAAGATGTGTGAGGATTTTTCTAGTGGAAATGTTCCTGTTCATCATAATTTAAGTGTGGGCGTATTATAGCCTCCTTAATTTAAATGAGTGGAGAGTGGTTTTACGGGGTGGGCAGGTGACTGCGGATAAGAGCACTTAATGAACACATCAGGCCCAGCAGGATGTTGAGTTCGTGTGGTTCTTCTCTGTACCTCAGCCTTATGCATAAAGCAGTGTGATGAACGGCCTGAAGCGGCGTGAGTGCACACTGAAGGAAGGCTCAGCCCAGTGTGCAGTGGGTTTTAATCTAACGCCTACAGCAGATATAATTTCCATCCCTTGTAAGGTATAGAGCTGGAAGGGGTTTAGTAAAGCCTCTTAGGCCCGATGTTATGAGTAAAGGGAACTAGGCAGGGAGGAAACAAGAAATTCGTTTCAACTCTGAACTCCTTGCTAGCCTCTGCTTTTCTGCAGCCTCAACAGTGTGTCGGATTTGATGTCCTCTGACAGTGATCACACCTCCCCTGGGCTCTAGTCCTTGTTGGGCTGACCACTGTGTCTTTGTGCTTTTGTATTGAATGATAGGAATAATGGCCAGTAAAGATGAGGGGATGGTCCCTTACTGAGAGCGCTCAGCAGCGAAGCTTGCAGGAGCTGGAGGATGGGACTGCCTCAGCTTCCTAGCAGAGAGGCTGGGAGGTCCTGAATGTCAGTGTAGTCCTTTTACTGTCTTCTACTGCTAGGGTGCAGGTTGGACCCTTAGAGAAGGAAATGATGCTAAATGTTCTCGTGAATATGCATGGAACATGCTGTTTGGAGGAGAAAAGGCATTTTTCTGATAGTTACCTCACAGACACAAAGTGTACCCATCTGATCCTGTGGCTTAAAATGTGTGCCCAGGGCTTCCCTGGTGGCGCAGTGGTTGAGAGTCCGCCTGCCAATGGCAGGGGACACGGGTTCGTGCCCCGGTCCGGGAAGATCCCACATGCCACGGAGCGGCTGGGCCCGTGAGCCATGGCCGCTGAGCCTGCGTGTGAGAGGCCCGCGTACTGCAAAAAAAAAAAAAAAAAAAATGTGTGCCCAGAGCCCCAGAAACTGGTCACAGAGCGGGGTCGTTTGTGACTTCTTAGAAGGCCAGCACATTCGTCGTTTTGATGTACTGCTGACCTCCCATCCATAAAAGAGCTGAATTCTCAGTGATCAGGAGAAACCTCAGATAGCACAGCAATTCCGATCTGGTCAGGTACACAGGACAGAAAACCGTAAGATACTTATGTGACTTAAAACAGTTTAGGAACAGTAAGTTAACAAAAAAGTTCAATAAAGCCATTCGAATAGAGTAGTCTAGGCGTCCTAGTTTTACATCGCCCTTGAGAGTTCTCTGTTACTCTCTTCGAGCTATAGTTTAGACTTTTTACGTCCAAGATACAGTTTTGTTTTGTAAAGGACATAGCTTTATGCATCAAAGTGGAATTGATGCAGGCTACTTGGGGAGGGATTGAGGTAAGAAAATATTTTGGGGACCATTTCCTTTTCCTTTTGAAAAGCAGTGGTTTGTGACTGTTTTTAAACAGGACCATTCAGAGGCACAGTAGGCATATGGCTGAAGTTAACGTGCACGATAGTTTCCTTCCATAGTGGTAAATGCCAGCACCCTGTGTATAGTGCAAAAATAGGTTGTGGAGTCTCACAGTGAAAGGGACCAGAATTTTAGTTCAAGTAGTTGATGGCTTCCTGCCTGTTTTTCTTCATGATCATCAGCTTATGCCAGAAGGCCCCCTGACTGGGTTAGTCCATTTGTCAGATGTCCTTTCAGCACCTACTGTGTGCTAGATATTATGTCAGTTACGGTGGAAGAAACAAAGACAGAAAACGCTGTTCGTTCCCCAGCCCCCTGCCATCAGAGGTCACCCTGGAACTCCTTGCCTCTTCTGCCTTTGCCAGAGCTCAGCTGGCTCCTGCCCTGAGCTGTAGGGACATAGGCGGCCTTGGGTTTTGGGGATGGGAGAAGACCTTAAGAGTCATCCTTCCCCAGCCCCCCAACCCGCCCCGCATCCTCCAAGGAAGGGAAACGATCAATTCCTTTTAAAAGTCGTGCTGTGCTAGGTACTTAATATTAACAGATTTAATCCTCACTGTAGTTCTCTGAAGTAGGTTGTATTATCTGCATTTTAAAGATAAGCCTAATAGAGTGATTTGCTCAGGGCAGCCTGGCAAGGAAGGAGCTGAGCCAGAATTCTGTCTCCAGAGCCGGGGCTTGACTCTTGCTGCTAGAATCACCAGGTCTTGGCAGGTCACACAACTTTCGCTGAAATGTTGTGAGGCTAGAAATCCTTCCTCAACTTACGTTGCCATTGAGATAAGCAAGGACACACCAAGTTTAACGTACTATTTAAATAGAAGGGGATGTCAGCGCTTTGGGGTTTTCTTACGATACCTTTACCCCTCCTTTTAAAGAGAAGGGCTGGGGCGTTAGCAGCAGCTGGTCTGGTTCTTTTTAAGGAACTGGACAAGTTATGCTTTGAGTAGGATTCTTTGGATGCTGTTTGTAAAAGTCAGCTTGGGAATATGAATAAGATCCACACAGTTTTTACATAGGAATGACTTTTAGATGAATTTTGTATTGTGCAGGTAATACGCTGTTCATAGAAGCTGAAAAGGAAACAAAAATTGAACTATTCTACGTCTCTACTCCCTGGGCATCATTTTCTAGACATTTTCCATTCAGTGTTTGCCTGTGTCCAAGTCACCATTTTTGGTTAACTCTTATGGTATGATTGCTGTTTGAATTCTGCTTTCTTTAGCACTGTCAGTACTATTTTTCTGAGTAGCTTGGAGTCTTTATGGTTTTCATTTTCAATGACTGTGTAATGTTTCATTCAGGTGTGTACTTTATGTTGAAAAGTTTTAAATTATTAACAAATAAATTTAAGAAACTTTGCAATGAATGTCTTGGGGTGGTACATACCGTATGCCCTGTGTTGAAGTCAATGCTGTTTTTAATTGCTGTTTCCCTGT